CTCTCTCTCTCTCTCTCTGTGTATATATCCATTTGTCTATTCTAAAATTCCATCTATAATTAACAAAACGTATCTTTACAGCCATGATCTTTCATTTCTACTTAGTTACGTAAGTGAAGTACATATGTATATACTTTATACAAGTATGTTCAAATTGGAGTGGAGTTATTTTGGGAAATGTGAGATGCCCAAACATCGGATGACAAATTTAGCTGCCTACAATGAATATTGGAATAGGTTTCTGTATTCTTATACTTAAAGTTAAACATAGTCTGTATCTAATCAATAATGATAACAACAACAACAACTACAACAACAACAACAACAACAACAACAACAACAGAAGCAGCAACATCAACAATATTATTAACAACAACAATAACAACAGCAATAACAACTACTACAACAACAACAACAATAACAACAGTATCGGTGCAGATTTCTCATCATAAGTAGAGTTATGATTTGCCGCACGTTTCTATCAGAATGACGTCCACTATCACTACCCACCTCGGGGGATTCCACAGGTACTGGAAGTGCGGTAAGCTTTTCATTCTTCAGTACGAAACAATCTGTCATCAAGTAAAAGAGTGCAGATTGTCATCATCATCATCATCATCATCATCATCATCATCATCATCATCATTATCATCATCATCATCATCATCATCATCATCATCACCATCATCAACAGCAGCATTAATGTTACCATTGTTATCAATATTATCAATATCAAAGATTATTTCTATCTAATATTTTATTGTTATGATTTGTATTGCTAAACATGTATTGTTGTTGCATTGTTGTTGCTGGTCTTAACCTTACAATCGTGAATCCTACGTTTTGTTCCGTCATTCACTACATTTTCTTCACTTCACCTAACTGCGAGGGCGCGCTGTTAGCTCAGTGCGTATCATGCTGGTTTACAGAACGGGTGGCTCTGGTTCAAATCTCCTCTGAACTTGGTATGTTTTGGGGAGCTTTTAAGGCTCTCCGCCCAATTGGCTCCTTCTTGTTGAAGATGGGTGTTAGATTCGAGGCCCTGCCTTTTAGATAACCTTTTAGCGTTGAAACAGGCGTTAAACATAATACGCAAAGGCTGCAGTTGCTAACTCGGCTTCAAACGCTTCCTTGAAACAATAAAGATAGACGCGGGATAGTTTTAAAACACGTGACAGGCGTTCACGCTGCATGTTCCGAGGCAAAGTGAAACGAAATATCAACAAGGACAAGCCAGCAAAGATGTCTGTTACAAAACAGTGGGAAAAAGGATATTCTTCTATAAATGCCTGCTTTGGCGGCACTTATATCTGGTCTAAAAACACATCCATTCAGAACCCATTCATTGTACTAACTAGTTTGACTTGACTCTTCTTCCAGCAATGAGTATGATCAGTAGCCACACTGATATAATTATCTTTTTTGTGTAAAATGTGTTCTTTTTCAGATAACGGGTCTACAATGGTATTTGAAAGAGTTGACGCGTGTTAAATGGGCCTTTGTATGCTTGAACCATTAATTTAAATCTCTATACTTTATTGTGAAGCGCTCAGTCACAAAAGAGTGGGCGCTGTAGAAGTTGTCTTTCTTCTTCTTTTTCTTCTTCTTCTTCTTCTTCTTCTTCTTCTTATTATTATTATTATTATTATTATTACTTTTTTCTTTTTACACTTATCATTTACAAAAAGCAACACTGCTATAAAGGACTCGCAGTTGTGAACATCTCAATTTTTAATGTTTTTGTTTTTGTTTTGACACAACTAGACCTAGAGGTTCAGTTATGTCTTTCGCCAATCTCTCCTATGTCCACAAGAAGGTTTTTAAAAAAAATTAAAATACGTGTACTTTGAAATAGTCCAAGACTCTCGGGGGCCAAGGGGGCCAAGGCAATAATGGGGTAAACAAGAATAATATCTGTAAACTTATTTTTATATGAACCATTCATGAAATATCTAGAAACACAAAAAAAACTGCTTGGTCTTATTAACAATTTTTTAATAAAATAGGAATGAATTGTTTCACTTACGCTTTTCCTCAAGTCTCCCTTCAGGAGATCGCAAAGATGATAAAGAGTGGCGTTGATGTCTGTGCGGGTGTTGTTCATTTGAATCAGAAAGTTCAACTTCTCCATGACGAATACACAGATGTCGCACGCGTTATTAGACTTGAGTTGTTGAGTTGTACA